GCATACATTAAGTAAAGATTTCAACAGTTTGCTCCCACACAGAAACATAAAGTGAAAAATACTGTTTGAGTACTAGTTATAGCATTAAATCTCAATGTACAGCACACTTTTATCGCCCACATATAATGACAAACATATGGTATTTGGATTTCTTTTTTTAAGTCTATTTATTTATTTGAAAGGCAAATCTTACAGAGGCAGAGTGAGAGAGAGAGAGAGAGAGAGAGAGAGAGAGAGGTCCTCCATCCACTGGGTCACTCCCCAAATGGAATTTATGCTAGCATTGGCAGCGGGAAACATGCTGCTCTCTGAGTACTCTTTGTGGATTTTTCCAATAATATTAGAAATTGCCTTCAAGAAAAGACCACAGTTCCCATTTATTTAGTTTCCTCTTGTGTCCAGCTAAGATTAACACAGTGCATGTAAATTTGCACTGATCTCTGGCTTCACTGAGGGAGAAACTTGATTTTTTCCAGAAATTTTTTTTCCAACAAACTTTATGGATTTCATAAATACAACTTTAGGAATAACTGAGGGATATCCATACTTTCCTCCCTATTCTCCCTCTCACCGACACTACCACCCTTCTTCTGCCTCCCTCTACTATTACTATTCATTATTTTACTAATAACCTTTTTCAATCACTTTATACACATAAGATTAACCCTATACTAAGCAGAAATAAATAGTATGGAAATAAATAAATAAATAAATAAATAGTATGGAAAATTTTTCCTCAATGGTTGAGACAAGGCATGTTCAAAGTCATTGCATCTCAAAGTATCAGTTTCACTTCTGTAGATTACCTTTTAGGTATTCTGTTACCACAGATCAGTGAGAAAATATTGTATTTGTCTTTTTGAAACTGGCTTGTTGCAATAAACATAATGTCTTCCAGTTCCAACCATATCATTACAAGTGATTTTTTACTGCTGTGTAGTATTCCATGATGTACATATACCATAATTTCTTTATCCAGTCTTCATTGATGACCATCTAGGTTTATTCCATATCTTAGTTATTTTGAATTGAATGGCAATAAACATGGGTGTACAGATAACAATTTCATATGCTGATTTAATTTCCTTTGAGTAAATTCCCAGAAGTGCAATGGCTGCGTCATATGGTAGGTATATTTTCAGATTTCTGAGGGATATCCATACTGTTTTCCACGATAGTTACACCAGTTTACCTCCCCATCAACAGTGTATAAAGGTACCTTTTCCCCAACAACCTTGTCAGCATTTGTTGTTTGTGGATTTCTTTTTTTTTTTTTTCGACAGTCAGAGGTAGACAGTGAGAGAGAGAGAGACAGAGAGAAAGGTCTTCCTTCCGTTGGTTCACCCCCAAAATGGCCACTATGGTCAGTGCGCTGTGCCGATCCAAAGCAAGGAGCCAGGTGCTTCCTCCTGGTCTCCAATGCGGGTGCAGGGCCCAAGCACTTGGGCCATCCTTCACTGCCTTCCCGGGCCACAGCAGAGATCTGGACTGTTAGAGGAGCAACCGGGACAGAACCAGAGCCCCAAATGGGACTAGAACGTGGGGTGCTGGCGCCACAGGCGGAGGATTAACAAGAGCATGCTTTTTTTGTCTTTTCAACTTTTATTTAATAGATATAAATTTCCAAAGTACAACTGTTGAATTATAGCAGCTTTTCCCCTGATAACCTCCCTCCCACCCGCAACCATCCCATCTCCCATCTCCCATTCCCTCCCCTATCCCATTCTTCATCAAGATTCATTTTCAATTATCTTTACATACAGAAGATCAACTTAGTATATACTGAGTAAAGATTTCAACAGACTGTATCGACACAGACACACCAAGTATAGAGTACTGTTTGAGTAGTAGTTTTAACGTTAATTCACATAGTACAACACATTAAGGGCAGAGGTCCTAGATGGGGAGCAGGTGCACAGTGACTCCATTTGTTGATTTAACAATTGACACTCTTATTTATGACACCAGCAATCACCCGAGGCTCTTGTCGTGAGCTTCCAAGGCCTTGGAAGCCTCTTGAGTTCACCAACTCCGATCTTATTTAGAGAAGGCCATATTCAAAGTGGAAGTTCTCTCCTCCCTTCAGAGAAAGGTACCTCCTTCTTTGGTGGCCCGTTCTTTCTGCTGGGATCTCACTCACAGAGATCTTTCATTTAGGTCATTTTTTTTTTTTGCCACAGTGTCTTGCCATGCCTGCGAAACGCTCATGGGCTTTTCAGCCAGATCCGAATTCCTTAAGGGCTGATTCTGAGGCCAGATTGCTGTTTAGGGCTTTTGCCATTCTATGAGTCTGCTGTGTGTCCTGCTTCCCATGTAGGATCATTCTCTCATTTTTAATTATTAGCAGACACTGGTCTTATTTATGTAATCCCTTTGACACTTAATCCTGTTTTTTTTCATCAATTATGAACTTTAATTGATCACTTTAACAAGTAAGATGGCATTGGTATATGCCACCTTGATGGCATTGAATTGGAATCCCCTAACACGTTTCTAGCTCTACCATTAGGGGTAAGTCCAAGTGAGCATATGCCAAACTGTACATCTCCTCCCTTTGCTATTCCCATTCTTATATTTAACAGGGATCACTTTAGAGTTAAATTTAAACACCTAAGAATAATGTTGTGTTAATTTAAAAGTGCTCAACCAATGATATTAATTAGAATAAGAAAAAACTAAAAGGAATAAAATAGAAAGATGTGTTCTGTCCATGTTCATGCCGCATGTCCACACCCTCCATGTGGATCCACAGCATTGCTCTAACTTTCCACTGCAGTTTTCTCCCTAACTTTTCCCTGAGATGGTACTCTCTCCACTTTTTAAAACTATTTTCCCCTAGACTAGAGCAGTGAACTCTCTCCCTATTTCAACATCTTGAGAAACTTTATTTATTTAAAAAGAAACTACAGGGTTCTTTGATATCTATCAGCCTCCATTACCCCTCTGACTAAAAGATGCATTTCTATCTTACAAACCATGAGTTTTTAACTATTCATTTTTCTTTTTCTCTCTTACCAGTCCAAGAGATGTCAACAAGAGCAAGAGCAAGGAGTCCTTCCTAATGGAGACAGATCTGGAGCTTGTGAAATATCATTCAGCCCCTGAGCTTGAAGAGGAAGATCAAATGGAAGAGACTTGCCTCCTGCCTCTGGATCCCACCCTCGAATGTCACAGCCCACCTCCTGATTATAATTTTGTGGTTCACTACAGCACTATACCCATGTAACCTACTAGTAGCACTCTTCCTTCATCATCCATTTTCAGACCACTCTCTTTCCTTATAAAAATCAGCAATGCTTTTCACATTCATGTCATGGTAACAATATTACTATGATATTGGAGAATGAAAGAAGAGAAAAAAGAAATTTTAGCAAAGAATCTCAATTCCTTATACAGTTTTGGGACACATATTGCGAAATCCATGCTCTTGGGTCTGAATGGAGAGACAACAGGATGTTTCTGTCCCATTTCTCTTGACATTTAATACTTGCTAACTCACTCAGCTGTGTCTAGCACAGCAACATCCTTAGTCATTCTATATATGCCCTTTACCAACTTGGCCCATTATTATTTCATTCATGGCTAATACAACAATAAATGTACCCCTTCAAAGACCTGCAGAACCTCTAATCAGAAACTGGGACCTCCATGATATTCAGATCCCAAGCAATCAACCTGTGAACATTACTTGGTGAACTTTTATCTGAATATCTTTTATTTTTGTTCTAATTTTAATTAGTTTATAACAGATTCAATGTGATTTGTAGATACAATTCTAAGAAAATGGTATTTCCTTCTTCCCTCCCTCCCTCCTTCATCTCTCCCCTCCTCCTTTCTTCCTTTATGTCTTTTTTGTAGTTTTTGACATAACATATGTTAAATTTACATTATAGTAAAAATTCTTAACACTTCACCAATAAATTTAACAAGGAAAAGGCAAAAAGACCCTAGTTCAGTGGGAATATAGATAATGGTTATAAACAATAATTGAGTACATTTTAAAGTAATAACGGATCATAAGAACTATAGTACTGTAACATTCTTAGACATTGATTTGATGAAGATATAAAACAAAGTTTTATAAAACTAAATTTGCACTGATAGACACAGATTTTTAATTTTCTTTTTCTTTAAATTTTAGCTCCAATATTGATATCATTTCTTAAAAAAAATAAAGCAACCATTATTCAGACCTAAAACCGAATAGAGATTTCTAGTAGATGGGAGTAGAAAGCTGTTTGCCTGCAACATTTCCCATGAGGTATCAAATCTAACACTCCACAGCATTCTTTGGATACAAGAAGTTCCTAGAAGCTTCAATAGAAGCTACAATAGAAGTGGGCATACCTAATATATTTAGGAATACATTCTACAAACATAATTATCAGCTTTGTGCGATTCCCAAGCCAGAAAATACCCAATCAAATACTCTAGCTAGTATTCAATACTGAGATTTCAAGAACAGCAATTTTGACACATAATCCCCAGGCTCTTGTATTAGGTGAACAGCAACACAAAAAAGTAAATTTGCATAGACTCATAAGAGAGTAATAGGTGAGGGTCCTTTTCTTGTTGTCCCTCTAGATTGACCTGTATTGCCCTTCCAGAAAGCACCTATATATACCTCTCTTTCAAAGGAAAAAACTTAGTTACATTCTTGAGGGTCGGTAGTTACTTTGTAAAACCCTAGCCCTGTCATGTCCCCCTTCAAAATCCAGTATTCAATAAATCACATCTGATGAGGTAGAACCTCCTACCTTTGCCGTAAGTCCAGGATCATGCAACCACACAAGGACAGACAAGATGCTCATCATTGGATTGCATTGGCGAAAATATGTACTGAATTTGCAGGTAGTGAGTCTCCTCTGACTCATATTCATAGCATCAGGGGGTAAGGAAGATAAGCAATAATATCCTTCAATAATCTGTACCAGAAAAAAAGCTCTGGTTCCTTTCTATCCCCATTTTATAAGTTGGAAATCTGATATCCAGATTCTTTTCTTCTCTTCCAGAGAAGAAAAGGGGCTTGCAAGCATCCACTGTTTGAAGTTTTGTGACCTTATACATGGACATTCACATAAACATGTGTTAATGTAAAAGATGCCACTGGAAGGGCCTAATAGTAGGTCTTGGCTTTGTTCTCCTCTTTGGCTAATGTGCATCTAAAAATAACTACTTCCCCCTGTAAATGGAGTGCTATGTTTCTGCTTCAACTGCTCTAGTCTCTTCTGTGGTGTTCTGAAAAATACTAGTATTATTCAAATTCAGTTTGTGTTTATGACACAAGGGCATTAGCACTGTTCAAAGCAGGCTAGGTTCAGATTCTGTCTACTTAAAAAGTTTGTAAAGAGGCCCAGAGAATCATAGTGAAATTCTCTACGAAATACTTGGTTTGGGGCCATTCAAACATAGAGGTATATGCAAGTCCTTTTACCTCTCATTCCTCAGCTTTCTGGAAACGCTGGCTACTTGGCTCAGAACAAGTAGGCTGAAATGTGTGACAGAATAAAGAATGAGGGAATCACCAGTCTCCAGTTGCTGCTAGAGTGACCTCCTTCCTCCAGGATTTTCCCAGGAAATACTTCCTGGGAATGGTGTATCCAGTTTTGCCACTGGCATAGGTAGTCCTCATTAGGTAAAGAGATCATTGGAAGGTGGTAGTGAAGAACCAAGCTTGATTCCTCCCCATTTCCTGTTACAAGTATTAATTAGTTTAGTGGTAGCAAGAATTTTATCATTTGGCCATCTACCTAGTATGCCTTCCCAGTTGTCCCTAATGACAAGTAGCTTTGCCAACAGAAATTTTGCTAACACAAATTTTTATAGTAGAGTCCCAAGAAACATAAATCAAAGAAGCTCTCATCAAGGCACTCACTGACTAGAACCTTGAAAGGGACTGCATATAGTTCCAATAACCTCTTCAGATAGCTCCAGGAGTCCCCCCAGCAAGAGAGCTCACAAAATTATTTGGTGAGGAACTTATTACAGAAAGTCGTCTCCTTAAGATGTCATGATGGAATGCTTAGGCAAGCAAACAGCAGCAACATTTCAAACTGTTAAACTGTTAAAAAGTTGTTTGAAGTTATAGTATTTTTTATAATTATTTAGTTGTTTGAAAGGCAGAGTTACAGAGAGGCAGAGGCAGAGAGAGTGAGAGGTCTTCTATCCACTGGTTCACTCTCTAAATGGCAGCAACAGCCAGAGATGGGCTCATAAGAAGCCAAGAACCAGGACCTTCTCCCAGGTCTGCATGAGAACGGGGGCCCAAGGGCTTGGGCCATCTTCTACTGCTTTCTCAGGCCATAGCAGAGAGCTGCATCAGTAGTGGAACAGCTGGGGCTCAAATTGGTGCCCTTATGGGATGTCAGCACTGCAGGTTGTGGCTTTACCCACTATGCCACTGTGCTGATCCTGAAATTAGTTTTTAAAGTGTTATTCTTCATATCTTAATAACTTGCTCATGTAATCATATTTCAAATTGGCTAGCTTTCAGTGCAAAGCCATTTGAAAGAGTTCCAATTAGTTAACTACTTCTACTCATTCACTATTTGTCTTTACTGCTCAAGACATCTGGTGTCACTGTCCCTCATTCTCCACTTGAACCTTCTGTTGGGAGGAGGTGAGAGTAGAGAAGCAAGACAGGAAAAACCTCATCTCTACTTAGCTCCTGAGTGGAGAGAACCCTCCATCAAGAACATCCCTTCCCATTCTGTTCTGGGTGGAAAGGTATCCCAGGCTTCAGTAGACCTTGTGAGCAGGCACAGTGAGCCAACTTTCTCAAAGATTCTTTCCCATAGTCCACTGTAGATTCATTATCCAAGTGTTATTATATTTTGTTAGTATTTTGCTATTATTTTTTCTTAAATTTAAATATTACTCTGTCATTTTATTGGAGTATATCTTGAGGTAGCCACATACATATATGAGAAGTCTTTAAAAAGTTTGTGGAAATGCATATTTTGAAAGAGTTATGAGTGGATTTCAACTTATTGCACCAAAATAAATTTATCTTTAAATTCTGTTTTCCACAAGCTTTTTAAATTACCCGTGCTTATTCAAAAATTTATTTATAACTTGTTATCCCACAATAAATATCCCATGCAATACTGGCAGTGCTTCTGGAGGCTGAGCCACCTCTCATGCAAGATGAACATGGGTTTCTAAAAATAGTTACAAATGACAGCTCCCCTCATATCTCTCGGAGTTACCAGAGCTTATTTTCCTTTTGTATGGAGCTCCATCTAGTGTTGCAGATTGGGCACATCTTTTGTCAAATTCTGTCACTCCCACTCTACTAATAGCTCTGTTTAACTCAAGAGGATGCCATGAGGAAGGAAAGAACTCATTGTTTTTTAATTTTTTTAACTTTTATTTAATGAATATAAATTTCCAAAGTACAGCTTATGGATTACAATGGCTTCCCCCCCATAACGTCCCTCCCACCCGCAACCCTCCCCTTTCCCACTCCCTCTCCCCTTCCATTCACATCAAGATTGATTTTCGATTCTCTTTATATACAGAAGATCAGTTTAGCATACATTAAGTAAAGAT